GAAGGAGGGAAGGAGATGGTGGAATAGGGTCAGGGCTGCCTTGGAGGCACTTCATTCACCTGGTGTGGCTCCCTTGGATCAGGCAGTTCAGTTTGAAGAGTGCTAAATGCCCCTGCTGAATTTGCTGCCTTATATTGCAACATGGCAACCTTATGTTGTGACTTGCAGCAAACCAGTCAGCTGGCCTCTGCTTGCGACTCTGCCAATGCCAGATTCTGTGTCTCTGAAGCCCTAACTCCCATGCCCTGAGCCGTATTCAGAAGCCCCCATCACTGCCTGCTCAGAGACAGAGCTAGAGAAAGGTGAGTACTTTCCTTCTGCTAAATCTTTAAGCTGCATTTGGGTGAGAGATTTTCTTAGGCTTCACTGTAAAAAAGGTTGTTTCATTAAAATGATGTGAGATTCCAGCTGGAATCTATTCATGTGCTGATGGAAAAAACTTTCTGCCTAAACATGCATAGGATTGCACCCTTATTTATACAGACTTTCCCTGGCTTCTGAAAGATTAGGACACCACTTGGTTTTCCTGGCTTTTAATGTGATGATTTTAGATTGGTGTTGCAGAGTATTACATTGCTGCATTAAAGTGTGAACTTAGGGACTTTGTTTTATTAAGCTGTATAGAAGCATGATTAGTAAATTCATCCTGTCAGTAGCACTACAGCTTGGGGAAATTTGCTTTCTGTTTGACCCCAGTTACAGTATGTAAAAGCCACAAGTAATTGGACAGGAGCCCACTCTTCTGACACTGCACGAATAGGTCTGGCCTGGCTAGCTCTCTGGAATGGAGATTGTGATTGTAACTGCTCAACTCACTGACACTGAGCTTACATCAGTTTAACCACATTGGGCTTTCTCCAGAGCAGCGTCCTATTTGGAGTTTGGCAGCGATGTGAAGCACTACCCAGCTGAGGTCCTTTGGCTCCTTGCAGAACTCCAGTTCCCACAATCCCCAGTCAGTAAGTCTCTGACCCACTGGAAAGACCCTCGAGGTGAATAGAAAGGAGTCCACCTGGAAGCACCTTCTTAGCAATGCACTGATTAGGAGCAGCCAGTTGGATCTCTCTTTCTGGTTGCATTACTAGCCTTGAAGACTGTGAGAATGATGCAGAAGCAATTAATCTCGGTTCCAAAAAACACTTGCCAGACTCTGAAAGGCAGGCTGGTTGGAGAACTGTACTCACAATGCTCTTCCAAGGCTCCTCTTCAAACTAGATGGATGTTTTGAGTATGCGCTATTGCCCCCCCCCC